GCATCAGCTGCATTCATGGTCATCTGCAAACATTTCAAAATATGAAAAACAAGTTTAAGTCTGATGTTATCACTGCATAATATTTAGTTACACTAATGCATGTTCTTAATGACAAATTTCTAAAGTTAAATTCAAGCCAACAGGCACGAAACTTCAACGACAAAATCATCAAATTCAATATTCCCTCCTCCTCCATCAACCTCTGCCTGTTTTCACACATATTGAATAAACAAGCTTAGTGGGGACATATCACACACCATGTCGTGGTTCCTTATGGGGACCAATGCTAGACCAAGTCTCTAGGTTGTCAGATACTTAAAACACAGTTTCTATTCATACACTGATGTAAGATGTGCTATGGGGACGTCGTGAATGTCCCAGAATAGAGTGATATTTAATCAAAAGTAACATCCCTATGAACATTAAAATCTGTCCTGAATATCCTATTACCATTATGTTTCTAGATGCATTTAAAAAAACAGCTTATTTACCTGCTTAAAGGGCATAAAAAGCAACAAACGGTGAGTTAGAAATATTCTAGGAGTAAAGTTTAAGTGCTAAACATGAATGTACCTGTTGATTAGTGTCTCATGGACTCAAAGTTTCAGTCATCTGCGTCTCTAACAAGACAGCATGGTGGGAGCTTTCCACAGGAATGACAGCATCAGCTGCATTCATGGTCATCTGCAAACATTTCAAAATATGAAAAACAAGTTTAAGTCTGATGTTATCACTGCATAATATTTAGTTACACTAATGCATGTTCTTAATGACAAATTTCTAAAGTTAAATTCAAGCCAACAGGCACGAAACTTCAACGACAAAATCATCAAATTCAATATTCCCTCCTCCTCCATCAACCTCTGCCTGTTTTCACACATATTGAATAAACAAGCTTAGTGGGGACATATCACACACCATGTCATGGTTCCTTATGGGGACCAATGCTAGACCAAGTCTCTAGGTTGTCAGATACTTAACACACAGTTTCTATTCATACAATGATGTAAGATGTGCTATGGGGACGTCGTGAATGTCCCAGAATAGAGTGATATTTTATCAAAAGTAACATCCCTATGAACATTAAAATCTGTCCTGAATATCCTATTACCATTATGTTTCTAGATGCATTTAAAAAAACAGCTTATTTACCTGCTTAAAGGGCATAAAAAGCAACAAACGGTGAGTTAGAAATATTCTAGGAGTAAAGTTTAAGTGCTAAACATGAATGTACCTGTTGATTAGTGTCTCATGGACTCAAAGTTTCAGTCATCTGCGTCTCTAACAAGACAGCATGCTGGGAGCTTTCCACAGGAATGACAGCATCAGCTGCATTCATGGTCATCTGCAAACATTTCAAAATATGAAAAACAAGTTTAAGTCTGATGTTATCACTGCATAATATTTAGTTACACTAATGCATGTTCTTAATGACAAATTTCTAAAGTTAAATTCAAGCCAACAGGCACGAAACTTCAACGACAAAATCATCAAATTCAATATTCCCTCCTCCTCCATCAACCTCTGCCTGTTTTCACACATATTGAATAAACAAGCTTAGTGGGGACATATCACACACCATGTCGTGGTTCCTTATGGGGACCAATGCTAGACCAAGTCTCTAGGTTGTCAGATACTTAACACACAGTTTCTATTCATACACTGATGTAAGATGTGCTATGGGGACGTCGTGAATGTCCCAGAATAGAGTGATATTTAATCAAAAGTAACATCCCTATGAACATTAAAATCTGTCCTGAATATCCTATTACCATTATGTTTCTAGATGCATTTAAAAAAACAGCTTATTTACCTGCTTAAAGGGCATAAAAAGCAACAAACGGTGAGTTAGAAATATTCTAGGAGTAAAGTTTAAGTGCTAAACATGAATGTACCTGTTGATTAGTGTCTCATGGACTCAAAGTTTCAGTCATCTGCGTCTCTAACAAGACAGCATGGTGGGAGCTTTCCACAGGAATGACAGCATCAGCTGCATTCATGGTCATCTGCAAACATTTCAAAATATGAAAAACAAGTTTAAGTCTGATGTTATCACTGCATAATATTTAGTTACACTAATGCATGTTCTTAATGACAAATTTCTAAAGTTAAATTCAAGCCAACAGGCACGAAACTTCAACGACAAAATCATCAAATTCAATATTCCCTCCTCCTCCATCAACCTCTGCCTGTTTTCACACATATTGAATAAACAAGCTTAGTGGGGACATATCACACACCATGTCGTGGTTCCTTATGGGGACCAATGCTAGACCAAGTCTCTAGGTTGTCAGATACTTAACACACAGTTTCTATTCATACACTGATGTAAGATGTGCTATGGGGACGTCGTGAATGTCCCAGAATAGAGTGATATTTAATCAAAAGTAACATCCCTATGAACATTAAAATCTGTCCTGAATATCCTATTACCATTATGTTTCTAGATGCATTTAAAAAAACAGCTTATTTACCTGCTTAAAGGGCATAAAAAGCAACAAACGGTGAGTTAGAAATATTCTAGGAGTAAAGTTTAAGTGCTAAACATGAATGTACCTGTTGATTAGTGTCTCATGGACTCAAAGTTTCAGTCATCTGCGTCTCTAACAAGACAGCATGGTGGGAGCTTTCCACAGGAATGACAGCATCAGCTGCATTCATGGTCATCTGCAAACATTTCAAAATATGAAAAACAAGTTTAAGTCTGATGTTATCACTGCATAATATTTAGTTACACTAATGCATGTTCTTAATGACAAATTTCTAAAGTTAAATTCAAGCCAACAGGCACGAAACTTCAACGACAAAATCATCAAATTCAATATTCCCTCCTCCTCCATCAACCTCTGCCTGTTTTCACACAAATTGAATAAACAAGCTTAGTGGGGACATATCACACACCATGTCGTGGTTCCTTATGGGGACCAATGCTAGACCAAGTCTCTAGGTTGTCAGATACTTAACACACAGCTTCTATTCATACACTGATGTAAGATGTGCTATGGGGACGTCGTGAATGTCCCAGAATAGAGTGATATTTAATCAAAAGTAACATCCCTATGAACATTAAAATCTGTCCTGAATATCCTATTACCATTATGTTTCTAGATGCATTTAAAAAAACAGCTTATTTACCTGCTTAAAGGGCATAAAAAGCAACAAACGGTGAGTTAGAAATATTCTAGAAGTAAAGTTTAAGTGCTAAACATGAATGTACCTGTTGATTAGTGTCTCATGGACTCAAAGTTTCAGTCATCTGCGTCTCTAACAAGACAGCATGGTGGGAGCTTTCCACAGGAATGACAGCATCAGCTGCATTCATGGTCATCTGCAAACAAGTTTAAGTCCGATGTTATCACTGCATAATATTTAATTACACTAATGTATGTTCTTAATGTCAAATTTCTAAAGTTAAGTTCAAGCCAACAGGCACGAAACTTCAACGACAAAATCATCAAATTCAATATTTCCTCCTCCTCCATCAACCATTAAAATCTGTCCTGAATATCCCATTACCATCAGCTTTCTAGATGCATTACATAAAACTGCAAGGGACTTCTGATTCACAATAGATTACCATCATAACATATGTACAGTTGAAACCAGAAGTTTACATACACTGTATAGAAAGACACATATGCTTTTTTTTCCTCACTGTCTGACATGAAATTAGACAATCACTTTTCCTGTTTTAGGTCCGTTAGGATTACCAAAATTATTTCTATTTGCTAAATGCCAGAATAATGAGAGAACGATTTTTTTATTACTTTCTTCAAAGTCAGAAGTTTACATACACTAAGATTATTATGCCTTTAAACAATTTGGGAAAGCCCAGATGATGATGTCATGTCTTTGGAAGCTTCAACAATGACAACATTTGAGTTAATTAGAGACACACACCTGTGGATGTATTGTAAGGCACACCTGAAACGCACTGCTTCTTTGTGTAACATCATGGGAAAGTCTAAAGAAATCAGCCAAGATATCAGGAAGAGAATTGTGGACTTGCACAAGTCTGGTTCATCCTTGGGTGCAATTTCCAGATGCCTGAAGGTGCCACGTTCATCTGTTCAAATAATTATACGCAAGTATAAACACCATGGCAGTGTCTAGCCATCATACCACTCAGGAAGGAGACGGGTTCTGTGTCCCAGAGTTGAACGTGCTTTGGTCCGAAATGTGCATATCAACCCAAGAACAAAAGCAAAAGACCTTGTGAAGATGCTGGCTGAAGCTGGTAAGAGTGTGTCTTTATCCACAGTGAAACTAGTACTGTACCGACATGGGCTGAAAGGTCACTCTGTCAGGAAGAAGCCATTACTCCAAAAGACACATAGGAAAGCCAGATTACAGTTTGCAAATGCACACAGGGACAAAGACCTTAGTTTTTGGAGACATGTCCTGTGGTCTGACGAAACTAAAATCAAACTGTTTGGCCATAATGACCATCGTTAAGTTTGGAGGAAAAAGGGGGAAGCTTGCAAGCCTGAGAACACCATCCCAACTGTGAAATAGAGGGATGGCAGCATCATCTGTTGGTTGATATACACATTTCGGACCAAAGCACGTTCAACTCTGGGACACAGAACCCGTCTCCTGAGCGGTATGATGGCTGGACATTCCCATGGTGTTTATACTTGCGTATAATTGTTTGAACAGATGAACATGGCACCTTCAGGCATCTGGAAATTACACCCAAGGATGAACCAGACTTGTGCAAGTCCACAATTCTCTTCCTGATATCTTGGCTGATTTCTTTTGACTTTCCCATGATATTACACAAAGAAGCAGTGTGTTTCAGGTGTGCCTTAAAATACATCCACAGGTGTGTCTCTAATTAACTCAAATGTTGTCAATAAACCTATCAGAAGCTTCCAAAGACATGACATCATCATCTGGGCTTTCCCAAATTGTTTAAAGGCATAGTATTCTTAGTGTATGTAAACTTCTGACTTTGAAGAAAGTAATAAAAAATTGTCTAAAAAAATCCTTCTCTCATTATTCTGGCATTTAGCAGATAGAAATAATTTTGGTAATCCTAACAGACCTAAAACAGGAAAAGTGATTGTCTGATTTCATGTCCGACAGTGAGAAAAAAAAGCGTATGCGTCTTTTTATAGTGTATGTAAACTTCTGGTTTCAACTGTATACAACACAATCAGTGCCTTCATTTTAATTATGAGCTAAGTGTAAGGAGATTATTATGGTTTAGCATAAGGAGTATAGTTTAGGTGTAATGTAAAATCTTACCACCATGTTCTCCCTCTCCACTTGAATGAAGCATGAATGCAACACATGATGAGTGATAAATGCACCTTCTCCATTGAGATTCTGCATCATCTATCATGTCTCCTCTGTATTCCAGTACAAAATCTCCTTTGAAGAATGAAGATAGGGCAAATACACCACGTCCTGTAAGACAAAGTAATACATTTTCAAAAAAAACAGGACATTACGAATGTTAATTAGTCTGTGGCAATATGTCCTAAAAACACAATTGCCAATTATTAGTGCATTTGATGGCAGCTTTATTGACCTAAGCTTATCTAATGCATCCTGAAGTTTTGCAATTAAATGTCTCAAAATCATTTTCAATATGTATATGAAGTGAACATGCTGAAGGGCATCCTTAAGAGGACTGACCTTGGTGGCATTTAAAACTGCAGAGAAATGTTTAATGAGACAGCTTTGGCTTTAGTTCTATTACAATACAATTAGAGGCTCTAAGTGAACATCCACACAGGTGTTTTCAGTTATTATGGCTGATTAGACCTCTGCTCAGGTTTAGGGTGGGCTTAAGCTTTGATGAAACTCCATGAGGTCACAAATCTAAATCTCCAATACGAATGGTGAAGGTATATTTTGTCCTGCCCTAACAGGTGTAACAAAGCTGACAGAAGACTCAGGAAGATGTCAATCAATCACAGTATACACACCCATACAGTCCCAAGAAGACTAATAATCAGCAAGATAAACTGAAAAAACTGTGTGGGTGTTCAGAGGCTTAGATCTATAACTTTTTTCCCCATACTCGCCCTTTCCTGTCGGCTCAGTGTCAGATGCCTTCCCTTCTTGCCATGCCCTATTCTAAATTATTCATTTTTAATAATAAAATAATATTAATAATTATAAGTAAGCTAAGTTTACTTTTTTCTGGTAGTAAAATCAATCAGGACCCATTTATGTAGAGGAGGCATGTGGAATCACTTCACTAGTCACTTTAAAGATACAAACATCAAATTGCAGCCTTGTCAAGCTCAGGTCCCAAAAATACCTGTCCAGATGCACTTTCTCTTAACATGGACAGCTTGCTTTAAATCATCAAAACATCTCTTTACAATTTTTCTATAATATATCTCACCTATATATACCTAGGATTAAGTTACACCTCTATATATTACTAAATTCATTACCTGGAAATGTATTTTAAATTTCTCTGTTACACACTGAAAAATATTTCACTTTTTTTAGTTGGTATAAACTCCTAGAAATGCACAGAATCCATCCATCATGTAACAACTAACAGTAGCTTTCAGGGAAAGCTAAAAACATTGTTAGTAAAACATTGTAAATTTGCTAGTTACACTAGCCTTCTGTTGCTAATTAAAGCTAACTTGCTATCCTACTAACTAATTAACACTAATTAACCTCATTAGTGGTTTAAAATGGTCATCTATACAAATAATGATTATAGCAAGTAAGTAAATAAGATAATATTGCTTACCTTGTGGTGTTGTAGTTCCTCTTTTTATGTGACAAACATCTTTAATTGAAGAGCCTTTGCGATGCTCCCTTTAAACACTGAAAATTGTGTTTGCTCCTAAAATCCTTCTTAATGGGGACCAGGAAGTGGGCGGTAACATACCATATTTGGAAGATCTGTGTGTGTGGAACGGTGAGTGCCTTACCAGCTCATACAGTAAGGGGGCGCAAGCATGCCCCGTTCACACACACACACTAACTGGAAAACATGCCCAATGGGCCAAAGCTAAAAACCACACAGGCACCTTCAGATAGACTCCTGCATTCATTTAAAAGAGTTTCCCTTTAGGGGACCTCATTTTTCGTCCCCATACTGTTAGAGGTCCCCATGACGTGACTGTGTAAACAGTTTGTTGTCCCCAGGACGTGATGAATGCCAACCCACACACACACACACACACACACACACACACACACACACTGTTGTGGCTCGCTTCCAGGGAGGGAGGTTGTGTAAGTTCCCTTGCCTACCAGTCTCTGTATTTGTTTGGCAGCTCTGGCTCCCTGCCTCGGACTCTTCCACTCAACAACAAAAAAATGCACTTGTGTATAGATACACAATGATATGAATGCAGAAATTAAATTAGCCAAATAATCTAGGTATGAATCTAGCTGAAAGGTACAATAGCTCCCCTCACTGGTGGATAAAGAGGAATTGTAAATGTGTTTGTGCTTTACATGTATTTTCCATGATGATAATATACATATACATGAATCACCAATCATAATTCTAATATGAAATGTTTAACACAGTAACTTCTTTGTGTTGGCCACAAAGTAAATGTAAATTATGTACGAACTTTGACAAGAACCTTTTAACAACAATGTATTGTTTCTTTCACCTTTAGATATTTACCACAATAATGTATGTTGAGTTCAAATATCTTCCAAGCAAATATTGATGTATGTGATTGTTTGCCCTGAAATCAGCATATATATATATATATATATATTTCTGCCACCCCTTAAAGTCTCCATGCCACCCTTTGGCCTCTCCACAAATACCCTATTTCTCTAGATCCCCCTGTTTGTGTGTACAGAGTCAACATTGCCTCAGACACGACTTCATTACAGCATCTTCTAAATAAAATACAGCAATAACAGTCTTGTTACACATTTGGGTCCTAACCCTAACAATCCGTTTTCACGGTGCTCACTGTGTAGAGTCTAGAGTGGAGGACAGCACAACCAAAGGTTATAGCGCTGACCTGTAATCACACTTTAATCCAGAGGAGGGCAGTAGAATGCAGCAAATACCAGCAACACCCCACTGTGATCACACAGGATGTACATATTAAGTTCCTCTTCTGTCTCTGCCAAGAGCTCAACACACTATTCAACAAGAAAAAACTGTATAACTGATTTGCCTGAGGTTGTATCTATAAAGGGTATTCATTTGTGATGAATATGGCCAACTGTACAGTAAGCCTTGCTCTTTTCTATGACTTTCTAATTGAGTGAGACTTAAACGTGGTGTTCCAATTTATCCCAAATATGTTGATCTGGTAGGAGGTCAGGACTCATATACTGGCCAGTAAAGTATAAAATATCAAGGCAAGGCAAATCTAAGTACAGCACCTTACAACAAGGATATACAAAGTGCCTCAGATAAGACACAAAAGGCATCAAAATTCAAATAAAAGATAAGAATAAGCTAAAATAGAACTGACCTTTTTCCCAGCAGCCTTTTTGACATTAAATAATAGGGTACACCGGTGTTACCAATGATACTAATTAAGGTTCAGGTCAAACAGAGTCAGGGTGCTGCAGCATGTTGTCTGACTGGAAAGGCTCTGCTAGACTAAATGGAGTGAAACCTAAATTAGTATCATTGGCAACTAGTGTGTTTACCCTACTATTTCATGTCTAAATGGCTGCTCTGAAAAAGGTCTCGCAGATCCAACAGTAGAATAGAAATTACAGTGCAGCTACAGTGCAGTGTAAAATATGGATATCAATTAAATATGACATGAAGTATCAGTATATCTTGTCGCAGTAAGAGTTCCTTCAACTGAAACCAAAGGGCCCTAGCCTATTTAAAAAACTGCCCCGGAGCAGAAGTACAAAAACTATGGGATCAGTGTCCACACACTTTTGGCCACACAATGTGTTGGTGTGTCTCCAGATGTCCACTGAACATAGCTGACTCCTTTTTTTTCCGCTCTGAAACAAATGAGTTAAAAGAAGTAATGTCTTAACTCTCTCACACTCTCACCAACCTAATCATTGTTTCCTTTTCCAAGCCAGACCTTGTACAGACATTTGTCACTGTTATCTTGCTTAAACCTTCCACGCCCTCCTTCTCTCTCTCGCTCTCTAGCTTTCTAATTGAATCCACAGGAGTGAATTCCAGTGGGCAGGAGAGGAGGGGAGGGAGGAGTGGGGGGGGGGTGATGTCAGAGGTCAAAGGTTAGGTTATGACCTTTGCCCTGTGAGTAGAACCCTACTGTGCGGCGTTTCTGGATGTAGTGTGTGTGTGTGTGTGTGTGTGTGTGTGTGTGTGTGTATGTGTGTGTGTGTGTGTGTGTGTGTGTGGGAGGGAGGGAGGGGTTTCTGTGTGTGTGCATAAAACAGAAACAGGAGTGAGTCATAGTTGTTATGTATTTATGCATAAATGAACATTCCAGTGCAGTCACTCTGGTTATCACGTCTATTAACGAGGTAGCTTCCATGCCTTTATGTTAATGCTTTGATATAAAGTGCTTCACTTCATTTAAAAATACTACCTAATAGTCTCTGGGGCCTTCTCTGCAGTGGTGGATAACTATCTACTCAAGTACTGTACTTAAGTACAATTTTGAGGTACTTTGGTTTATTTGGATATTTAAATTTCTTGCTGCTTTGTACTTCTACTCCGCTACATCTCAGATGGAAACATAGTACTTTGTACTCCACTACATGTATTTGATAACTTTTTCATGGTTATTAATACAAAATAGAATTAATTTATTAATAAATTAAAGGACCAGTGTGTAAGATTTGGTGGCATCTAGCGGTGAGATTACAGATTGCAACCCACTGATAACCCTAGGGGCCATCCACACAAATATGTTTTTTAGAATCTGGATAAATACTTTATCGTATCGGCCTCGCGTCCAGACGGATACGGCGTTCTCGGGGTGTGAAAACTGTGTTTTTTGGAAACGGACCCCAGAGTGGGAAAATCAGAAAACGCCGGATTGCCCGGAGTCGTCAGGACGACGAAAAAGGATTTTTTCCGAAACAATGACGTATTAGCCTTGCCTCTCTAGCCTTTAACCTCAGCCGCCGCCGCTAGACGCGTCATAACAACAACAGCAATGGCTGACTACTACAACTTGTTTGTAAACAGCGCATGCTCCATGGCTTCTCTTCCGGTTTTAGTGTATTGGTGTGGCGGCATCACAGCGCCACATACATGCCTGGCATATGTACTACAGCTTTTTGGGTCGTTTCAGTGAATCCGTGTGGACGCAGATATTTCTGGAAACGACGCCGTGTTTACGGAGATTTTTTTTCTAAATGACATCGTATTGGGTGAGGCCGCATATTCGTGTGGACAGGCTCCTAGACTCAACCAGTTAGCTGCTTTAAGTAAGATTTTTAAATGCAGGGCTTTTACTTATAACTGAGTATTTCTACACTTTGGCATCAGTACTTATACTTACTTTTAATAAATTAACAAATTGCTTCTTCCTCTGCTTTTCTGTGTTGTATTCTTTCACTGAAATTTGTTCCTATCAATGACAAACATTTTTGGGAGTTTCTTGGAACACAGTATCACAGAATAGATGCTACGATTGGATGAAAAGCTGGGGTTGCTATTGATTACCTCACATAATACTTACACTGAGGGGTAGCAACTGTAGCTTTTCTTTCACTGTCAGAGAAACTCTCTTCCTAAATCCCAAACTCTCTGTGAATCCCAAAGGCTCTTTGTAAGCATAAACACACACAGATGCACACACAGTCGTACACACACACACACACAGACACACACATACACACAAGCGAATGGGGCAGGGGGTACATTGTGAAAGAAGGAAGGTGGTGGGGGCGGGGGGATGGGTGGAGAAAAGGGAGAAAAAGAGGAGCAGATGTTCATCAGGTCCTCCTCCCCTCTCTTTAATATAGTAGGCTCTTATCTGAAGAAGCCTGTGTGGGGCTGTAGAGGAATTACTTCACTTAATCATGTGAGTTTCAATAGAGTGTGCAAGTGTGTGTGTTTCACTCTCTGTAACACACGCACACACACACACACGCACACACACACACACACACACACACACACACACACACACACACACACACTCAAATGGCGTTTCAATTGTTTCACTGTTGACAGTGCTGTGATTATGTATTAGCTAGCTCTCCTGTCCTGTCTGCTCACCCCTCTATCCTTAATGAAAACACACAGCAGTGCTTGTTAATAAAGAGTTCTGTCAAATATGTCTGAGAAAAAAATGCATCACTTCATTATTTCATCCATGTACAGCAGCTGCACCCTGCAGCTAGTCATCCCAGGCAACCCCACAGTGCAATGTCACCTCTGTAAATCTTTTCTAATGTCAAACAGATGTTGAATCAGTAAATGCTTTCCTAATGACTGAGCTAATTATTTCACTGCAGGAAGGATGATGTGACAAAGCAAGGGAATGTGTCCCATGAAACATCTTTATGCATCTGGTTGATTAATCCCAAATCTGTAGATCACCCAGATCAAGTCTTAATGGAAACCATCTCTGGCCTCTGATTCCTTCCTCCAATCCTACAATGCCTTCCCCTCTCATTTCCCCCTGTTTCTTCTAAATAACCCCCAATCCTGCCCCTTCATCCCTCTCCTCACCCCCATCTCTTTCCTCCCTAACAAGCCCTTCTATCCCACCCATTCACCTCCCTCTGTTATTTCCACCGTGTGTGTGTGTGCGTGTGTGTGTGTGTGTGTGTGTGTGTGTGTGTGTGTGTGTGTGTGTGTGTGTGTGTACGGGGGTAGAGTCGCAGAGGGCGGGCCATTAGTTTGTTAGTTGGTTCTGCAGCTCATTGAGCTCATTGTGCTCCGAAGGCCCTCTAGCCCAGCTGGACTCAACAAGAAGCAAGAATTCTCTTTCGAATCTCTCTCCACCTTTCTCCTCCCTTCTCCCCTCCCCCTTTCCTTCAAAACCAACCCACCCCCCGCACCCCCTCACTCCCAGTAATCCCCACCTCACCCAAAGGGGATTTGTTTATAGAAGTAAACTCTACTCGCAGGCCAAATAGCTTGTTTATAGATAGCGCTTGTTTACTTAACCAAATTAACAGAAGGGCCTGCTTACCTCAAGGCACTCATGTTGTTGACATCTTGCTAATGGCTTGTTGTTCACAGTGGTGGTCTTCATCTTAGGGTAGAAAACAAACACACAGAGTCAACCTCTTAAGACGATGGACTAATTAGGGTGTCTCACGTCTGGTTTGCACCCAAAGGTCAGTCGCAATATAATTAGGCCTTGTTAAAATTAAATGCACCTCGGGTCATATGATCAGTTAAATACAGAAGTGAATGCAGCAAAAATGCACACTGGGATCCTCAGACCATATTTGGAGGTGGTCTGGATATTTGTCTACCTATGTGAGGCACCGTGGTGGCCTGGTGGTGTTCACAGTTTGATTTTGGAACTTTGTTGTATGTCAGTCCCTCCCCTCTCTCCCCCACTCAAACATATGTTTTTGTTCTTGCTCCTACAGTTGGATGTTACACTGTACAGAATGATGTATGTGCAGTTTGACACTAGAAGGATGTTTTCACATTCATCTGCTGAAAGTGGAAAGTTTCTCTCTGCTCACTGAAAATCAGATTTTAAGGGGGCGGGGCCTACCAGCATGATTTGTGACATCACAAATAGTTTGGAAGTCAAACCTAGTCCAGTATACAACTTACTGTAAACAAGTGCAAGGTAGAAACTTGAAGTTACTAGTGAACAAACAATGAGAAGGGACTTTACAGTGAAGTAGGAGACATCTTGTGTCCAGCAGAAAAACTTTAGAAATGAACAAAATTTGTATATGTCGTAATATTTGTCTGGAAGGGATCTTTACCTAAAAAAAAAAAAAACATCCACATAACGCAGTTGCAGTGCAAATGCATACCTGACTGCACTGAAAATGTGTTCAGCCAACTTTTAAATGAGAATAATCTACAACTAAATCCAAAAAACTGTTGATTTACCTCAAGAGGATAACATTTAACTGGGTATCCAGAAGAAGTAGCCTCTGCAATACTGTACTATATGTTGTTTTTTTGGTCAGTTCCCTAATGAAGAAATGAAATGTGAGAGAGGAAGTGAAATCTTACAACAAAGGTCACTCAAGGTGCATTTAGTCCGCATTCTGATGCCATGTAAGAACTAACAGTCCATCTTAATTAGATCTCCACACAATCTGATACATCTGGACGATACCGCACCTAAACTTTACACCGTAAACATTTCCATTTTCTCTAGTAAGATAGCAATTTTGATAGTAGCAGCAGAGTGACAGCACAGAAAAGAAGGGGTGACATGCAAAGAATATCTGCTGCCAGATTCGAACCTGGGGAGACAATAATTCAACTTCATATACACATTACAAAAGTCAAAACACGGCTGGCTGAGACAACCTTCAGCCTGTGTAGAGTGGACCTGTACCATTACATCATCACAGTGCTGGGGGGATGGGGGAAGACTCTGTCAAACACACACAAGCATGTTTATGCACACAAACACACGCACTTAATGGTGACCACTTGGCTGGACCAAAACAAAGCTTCCCAGCAGGCTTTGTTCTCATCTTTCTAAAGCAGCTCAGAGCCAAGGAGCTGGTTTCAAGAACGGACTAACCATGAACACACCTTTTTCAGACCATTTCTGATATGTCTTTTTTTTCCTTTTTGGAAGCTCTTTTGAGGGTTGTACAATTTTAAAATCATATTTAATAAACAGGAACAATAAGAGACAAAAAAATAAATAACAACCTTAAAGGACCAATGTGTACAGCTAAGTGGCATCTAGCTGTGTAGTTGCAGATTGCAACCCCCATGATACATCCTCCCATTCCAAACGCGAAGGAGAATCTACGGCCGCAAAACACTCCCACAATCCTAGAGCAAGTCTGAAAAATGGCTCATCCAAAGGTACCTGAAACACAACAATTGTTATTTTCAGGTCATTATACACTAATTAAAACATACCTATGAATATTATATTCCATTTCTGCCAATAGATCCTCCTAAAGATTCCACACTGGACCTTTAATTTAAGACACTATAGGTGCATTTATTCTAAGCATACGTGCTTTACTCTCCTGCCCTTCGTGGGAATCAAACCCCAACATCCGGCCACTAGAAGCACTGAAAGGTACAAAACAAACTGAAAGCGGTTTCTTTCCCTGCAGTTGCAGCCAACTGTTTTGCCAACTCATCGGGCTACTGGGCACGCCATCACAATCCTCTTTACAATCCCAGAGGTGTGACAACCCCACTCCTGGCAGACCTGTGTGGAATCGTGTGTGTGTGCGCTCTTGTATTTCTATCTTTGTGAGGACCAAATGTCTTAACCAGTGATAGTATGAGAATGAGGCCTTTATTGTCAGTGCCCATCATATTTGCAGGGCGGGTGATTAAGCAAAGGTGTAGGAAAATATAATTGTATATTTGACACGTTTTGTCCTGGCAAACAGCAACAACCCTGTATGTGTGTGTGTGTGTGTGTGTGTGTGTGTGTGTGTGTGTGTGTGTGTGAGAGAGAGAGAGAGAGAGAGAGAGAGAGAGAGAGAGAGTGTAGGGCTGTCATATAGTCTCATGGCTCTGCAGTGGAATTTTTCACACATCTACCTTTGAAATCAAAGACTTCACTCCTCCTTGTCTGTCTCAAAGGGCTAGACTGTCTCCACACTGTCTTTTCTACCCATATGTTCAGTCCTCCTGTTTTCTGCTCCTTTTTTGTCCTTGAAGTTGCCCTTTCTTGTGGGTGTCTGCCTATTACTTTCCCTTTGTTTGATACACTTTCTTTGTTTTAGCTGCTACCACTGGCACTTCCTTCATCCCCTCTGATAAAAGCCATATGACTTTACATAACTATTATCCGACTTAACAGGCCAGTGTCTCTGATTTAGGAGGATCTATTGGCAGAAATGGGACCTAATACTCATAGGTATGTTTTCATTAGTCACCAGGTAATGAGTATTCACCGAAAAACAACTATGTTTTTGTTACCTTAGAATGGGCCAATTGTTATCTCCTGAGGGAGAAGGTCCTCTTCTACAGAGTCTGCCATGTTGACCAGCTTGACACACACTGGTCCTTTATACAGGCTATGTATAATAGCAATGATCATAGCAAGGCTGATATTGATTGGTATCAGTTGCAAGGCCTGCACTTCTCAGTAAAGTGCTAATGCAACGAAATTACCCGAGAGCACTGGGTGAACAATTGCATGTACCAAATAACTTTATAAAAAGGTTTTATGGTCACTATTTTCCTGCAGTAGTAACCCTAACATTATATTCCTGTACACAGATTTGACAAAGCTCACAGACCTTTGTTAGCCTAGTGTCTGCTACATAAATTAGCCGACTTAATTAACAAAATAATTTATTTGCTTACCATGCAGCAGCTGAGTACACAACATTTAAAAAACAATGGAGTAAAAGTTACAGTTGGAGAAATGACATTTTCCACCCAACATCTAAAAAAAGTTATTATAAAGTTATATAACCGGTTATCCAACAAAAAAGAAACATAGCTGTTTTTTTTTTTTTTTTTTTTTTGCACTGTCACTTAAATGTACTATATATAATAATACCACGGTGAATTAAAAAAATAAATAAAATCCCTTTCTTCATGCAGTTGTTTGGTAACTTTCGGCTGACTCCAAAAAAAAAAAAAAAGTGGAAGCCATGCGGGAGTGGGAGTGGCTAGCAGCGGTGTTAGGTTTTAAATCCACACGTGGTCCGGGTCTTGGGCTTGTTTAGCAGCAGCACATACACAGAGAGAAACTTCTGCTCGACTCATGCCAAGCGAGTTTGCCCACGTCTACCGCTGTGGGGGGCAGACCGGACGAACGCAAGACGAACCCAAAATGCCATCTTACTCCCTCAACCAGTTTGCTGACCTGGAAGAGATTGTTGCTAAGGTAAACGGGGAAAAGTGCAAAGAAAGTTGAGCGAAAGTTGGCTAGGTCAGAGAGAGGGAGAGAGGAGGAGGAGGAGGAGGAGGGGGAGTTGATGTTAGCTAACTAGCTAGCTGCACTGCTAACTTCACGGTGTTTGCTCCCTTCATCTGGTGTTGACTGTGTTTTAAGAGTTCAGAAGTTAAAACGTGGCTTTATTGTATTTTTTTTTGTTGCCCGTTTGATTTGATCTGAAAGTTACCCCCCCCCCTCCCCGGACTTGAAGCTAAGTTGTCACAAAGTGGAAGCGATGTCGAGTTTTTGGTGTTAAGATTCATCTCAACACGGGCCCCTTAAACTGTCCCCCAATGAGCTAACTTGGTGATTTAGTCGTAGTTATAGTTGAGGCGGTTTGTTGGCTAGGTTTCGCCGACCATCGGTCACCGGACAGGTTGCGACTCTTAACCTCGGTGGTTTATTAACGGTAGAAAAACCACTGGAGAGTTGAATCAAAACACCAGCTTCAGACAACTGATAGTTATTAACTTTTTGTGCCTAAAACAAACGACTCAAAGTTGTGGTTGAAGCTGCGTTGATTTGAGAAAGAAGTGTGTAGTTGACTGGATTGCAGTAAGTAGAAGCGAGTTGTTTAACTTTAATAGTATGTTAGTGCTGTGAGTTAGTGGATGTGCTGCACAGCGACGTCTGTAGTTTGTCCTTTCTTATTTCCATCACTGTAGCAGATGTAACGTTAAGTATGTGTAGGATGAAGGTTTAAACCCTTGTTAGTGTTAGGCTAGCTACTCAAAAAGATGTAACCTATTACTCCTTACTGTAATATAGTTACTGAAATGGTAATTAATTTCACTACTGGTTAGTGGGGAAATTGAATATTATTATTAGTAATGCCTAATATTGCTTGTAAGTGTGGATTTAAAACAGTTTGTTGCTGGATGTTGATGCTGTTTATGTGGTAAACAGGGTAGTTAACTGCAACTCCATATGGCAGTTTTTTAAAAGGACCACTTCTGTGTCCCACTGCTCAAACTGCATTCTCAAATGGCAGCAGTGTCATTTTATTATTTCAACTATAGTCCTATAGGTCTTAGGCAGGTTAGCAAAGGTTTATTGTAATGAGACAAGACTTGAAAGGTTAAAATATTGGATAAGAACGAATTCTTATCTATGTCTGAATTTGCATGTGTACTTTCATTTTTGTTTTTTAGAAACTGTTCCTTTTAGGCCCTGAGAGGAAATGTGTAATAGAGGATGTTAGAGGGCAAATTGCATCAGACCTATTGCTGACTGAGTTAGTGTATAGCTCACTTTTTAGTGTCTGTATGACACGATGTCAATATACACCACCGTAGGGGTTGACTTAAGTTCACAACACAGAAGTAAATATTTGATGAAAGTTTGTTTTCATGTATACTACTATACTACTATACCACTATACTATTTGTTCTTTTATTTTGTAACACAAAAGAATGCATTTTTTTTTAAAAAGCCACTGAAAATGTGTACCAGGAGAGAATTTCAAATGATGTTGAATGCTTTCTAGAGTGGTTATACTTTTTATACAGTTGAAAGATGGAAAAACTAAATAATCAGCATTGGACGGAAAAACTAAACAGTATTTTGCATTTACCAAAAGTAACTTAAGTAGTGTGCAAACTGAAAATAACTACATCTTTGTAACTGTTACTCAGTAGCACAACTGATGACAATTTACGATCACAGATGGACAAAGAAACTTACCACAGGGATTTTCTAAAGTCGCTCACTTAATTTTAATTTTGAAATTCATCAGCTGATGTTTTGTGGTTGTCTGTTCCTTTTTACAGAAGTTACTAAATCTCGACTTGAGGGAGCAGAACGGACTGCTACCATCCCTCAGTCTGGCAATGAGGACACCAGGTTGCATCGGTCAGCCACGTAGCAACACATCGTTTTCCCTCTCGTCTCTCGCCTGCCTCCCCGCTGAGCCTTCAGACGGTGTATTTCTGACCTCCAGCCAATGGGGGCAACAGTCGGAAAGCCCCCTGCCCTCCCAGCTTGCTAATTCTACCCAATGGGGAAAGTCTGGCTTCCTTGCTCAGCGCTCCATCAGCATGGTAGAGACCAGCAGCGCCACAGCAGCAAACCTAGGCTGGCCCGGGACTGACATAAAGCACTCCCAGAGTGACCTCAGCCCCACTGCACTGAACACTAGCTCCTCCTCATCCACCTCATCTGTGTCCTCTTCCTCATCCCGCTATAAGACTGAACTGTGTCGATCTTTCACTGAGAGCGGCTTGTGCAAGTACGGCGGGAAGTGCCAGTTTGCCCACGGGGCAGAAGAGCTGCGGGATCTAAGCAGACACCCGAAGTACAAAACGGAGCCGTGCCGTACGTTTCACACCATCGGCTTCTGCCCGTATGGGATGCGCTGCCACTTTGTCCACAACAATGAGGAAGAAAAGAAACACTCATTCTCTCGTTCCTCCTCATCCTCTTCTTCTTCTTCCTCAAGCCTCCCCCAGCAGCCACCTTCTTCCTCCCGCTCGCACAGACCTCCTCTCGTCAGACAAAGCTTCAGCTTTGCTGGGTTTCCCTCGGCTCCCCAGCAGTCCTTTCAGCCTGCCTTTAATGCTCATCCTCCTCCTGCCACTGCTTCCTTCACACATGCTCCGTCAGCCTCCACTCCTTCCTGCGCTGACATTACTGACCTCCTTTCTCATGCCTTCTTGGAGATGGACTCTGCCTTCGAGGCCTCCCCTACCCACCAGTACCAGCTCTCCATGGGCCAGGCCACTGCAGCAGATCCCCGGTCTCCATTCCTGCCTTCGCCAGACTCTGGCTGCTCTCCGTGTGGGCTTTCTCCGACTGCCTCCCCTTCCCTGAGGCAGAGTCCCGTTGCCACCGGGGTCTTTTCAGGGCCGCTGGGTCCCCGATCCCTGTCCTACACCTCTTTGTCAGACCAGGACCAGGATGGAAGCAGCTCTGCAAGCTCCCTCAGTGGCTCCGAATCCTGCGGTGGCATGAACGACGCCAACGGCAAACGTCTGGCGGTGTTCAGTCAGCTCTCTGTTCCTGAGGATGCTACTGGGTTCTGCCTCTAGGCTGCAGTGTGCTGGAACACAAACATACATACTTGCATACACTCAAACACAGACATGCAGAACCCTGAATACTCTGACACAATATATGCAGTACACACAAATCCACACTGAAGCCCGCACGATGCTCACACACTTGACCCCTATAAATGCGCACCTACTACACGCAGCCGGCAGACTGAGACCTCAGGCGTTCCTTGCATCTTTGTGACATCAAAGGAAACAAGGACTTACTTACTGACTCAGGACGCTCAGAGATATAATGTGGTTAAAATGGCACTGGTATATGCGTAAGGGAAGCCGCAGTGATGCTGAAAGTACAATGTGTGTTTCCACCAAAACAGAGTACATATCAAGATAGAAGTTTAATAGTGCTGGAAGTGTTTGATGCTTCATCACAATAGTATGCTGAGATGGCAAACTTCTACAAGATGTAGTAATCACAGTGTGATTGGCCAATCAATGCTGCCTGTTGTTGAGTCCAACCAAACCCTTTTTTTATTGCGTTTCACCAACACCTTCTGAGTGATCTAAAGAATGTGACAAAGCCAAAGACATCTGTTTTGTAGCTCAAACGTTTTGATTATGGTGGTACAAACACACAGTGTGACCTATGTTTAGAAATGATTTTTTTTTTCCCCATTAACTGTACACGCAGTATTGTGTGTGTTTATACAATGGTGAAATAGTTTTTTTTCCCCCTCATAATTGTTCAGTCTGAGGTTCCGTTTAGATCGCTGGCCTTGAACCTGAGTGTTAAGTTTTTAAACAACTGAAGTGCCTGTAGCGTTATTTGACAGGTCATGTTACAGTGTTGAAACAAGATTTGCTGGTTTGTTAGGAGAGATGTGAGGAGGGGTGTGAGGTTTGTTTTTGTTTCTTTTGGTTCTTTTTACTAAGTAAGTAAGCTAGTGTGAGTTCAGGTCTCTCTGTTGGGAAGACTTCTACAAGTGTTGTTCTTTTGTCTCTTGTGCATTATTGACAAACTGCCACCAGTAAAATGGCAAATGACCAGATGTAACCTGCCCTACAGGAGGAGGAGGAACGGGGACAAAAAGCCAAGTGCCCTTGATCATACTTTTTCAAATCTCATGTCCATGACGTTTCTTTAACTGTTTATGGGCTATGATATTGTGTGTTAGCACAAACAGCAGGCATTGCAGAAAACCCATCAATATTGGGACTCAAAGATAGACCAAAAAGAATATTAAATGCCATTGTGTTATTCCTGCATGTCGTTTTCTGTAAACCGATACAATCTGAATATTTCTTGAGTTACAAGGCACTTGCCGCAGGAGTTAAGTTTAATCAAGTCATGTGAATGTTTCATGAAAGTCCTGTTTACCTCTGGCATGTTTCCTAAAAACATTGTGGTGCTAATCTGTATTTTGAGATTATCTTAAACACAAACATTCCCCCGGAGATGGATTTTTTTTTTTTCTTCTCCCCTAACCAGTGTTACATGTTTTATAAGTATTCATGTTTTTGTGACTTATCACCCCACTCACCATAGTTCATCTCTCCTTCTCATTCAGTATTAATTCTTCCTGTTAACGGCTTTGTACTGTTATGAATGTGTAGCGTCCCGGTCACACGTACGTGAACTGCGCACCCGGGTCTGTTGCCTTTACTGAGCTACTGTAGATCCAGCATTCTGTAGTGTAGAAATTTTACTTGGCTGTTTTTGTGTGTTAAATGATGTAGTTGGTTAGGGGAACAGACGCCGTGCTGTTACTGGTCTATTTAAAATTGCCTTTTCATCAACATGTTTGAGGCCTGTTTAGTGTTAAAGGTGATAATCTTTAGTAACTTAATTTCTTTAATTTATTTTAACGTATTTATAGAGGACTTTGAGTTGTTAATGCTTGTATCAAGTTTAATATATTTGTTTTGTGCCCTTTTTTTTTGCTTTTTTTTTTGTACTGGAAATAAAGTTGTTTTTTTTTTTAACTGGTTGTTTTTAAGCTTGTTTTTCAGTCACCTCAGGGATTCAAAAAAAAAATATCTATACAGGTATGTTTTACACGTTTGCTCAGAAATCTTGTATTGCTGATGCAACAGTACAGAAGTTGTGAGACTTGTGTACATGCCCTTGAACTTTCTGCTCAGCGGTATGTATTTTGCTGGCTGTAGTATATTTGCAACAATGACACATTTGTGATGTTTTAGATGCAAGGTGCAGGAAGGAAGAAAGCAGGAAACCAGTGAACTGTCATTTATGGCTTTCATTGTAGATCACGTTCCCCCAGTGGGCCCTGCACTGTTGATGTTAACTGTATCTACACACAATGTCAAAAGAGCAGATAACTATGAATTCACTTATCTCTAAAGTTAGTATCTTTAACTAGGGCAGTAGACTGAGTGATGATAAGACAATGATGTTTTCCCCTTCCAAGCATGTTGTAGAAACTATAACTGCAGCAAAACTCGTGAAAAAGGTTAAAGGTCCTATCTAGGGCCACTGTTTGTCTGTTCTGGGCTACTGTAGTCTCTGTAGAAGAGGGGACCCCCTTCTCTGTATATAAAAATGGATTGTTCTAAGGTAACGAAAACACAACCATTCATACTTTCAGGTGATTATGCTCAACATACCTACCTAATATTATATTCCATTTCTCCCAATAGATCCTCCTAAATGTTACACAATAAACAACGTGACAATTGTTTTCAACTGAGTTGATTTTATGTTTCTCAATCCATAAAGGCACATTTAATCTTTAAATTAAATCTGAAAACTTAAAAAAAATCACTGCATACTGGAAAGCTACCCTGGGAATAAATCATTAAAAATTATAAAAATGAAAAATGACAGCATACAAAGATTTCAAGATCTATAGTGTAGTTCTATATCATTAAATTTATTCCAAGTGACGAGCAGAGTATTCAGCGACTAGGAACTTGTATTTTCATCCACAGGTCACACTATGCAAGAGTGAAACACAACAGGCTCTTCATATTTCCTACTGAAATTGCACTAGGGAGCCGGAAATGAATCATACAACTACTCTGTGGTGCAGCCTCAGCCGGAAGAACACGCTTACAGACCAGTGTACTGTTGCTGAGTGATTCATAAGTGAGTAGAAAGCTTTTAGTTTTTTTTTTACTTGAAGGCACATTTTAGTTTTTTCTGATTCCATTGAATAAGACAGTAAAACAGATAAACTGATAAGAAAATTCAAATAAAGCCACATGGAATTGCTTTTGCTGACTAGTCATTTCTGCTGAAGGATAGTAAGACACTGGCGTGTGTGTGTGTGTGTGTGTGTGTGTGTGTGTGTGTGTGTGTGTGTGTGTGTGTGTGTGTGTGTGTGTGTGTGTGTGTGTGTGTGTGTGTGTGTGTGTGTGTGTGTGTGTGTGTGTGTGAGAGTGTGTGAGAGTGTGTGTGTGTGTGTGTGAGAGTGTGTGTGTGTGAGAGAGAGAGAGAGAGAGAGAGAGAGTAGTCATGCCATTGAGATTTCATGTGGAGATAAGAAGTCTTTTGTTTGGGGTTTAATCTGACCAATCCTGGGCTCCCCCACCCATTTCCCTTCTCCCTCAGTGCCTCCACTGATTCCATCCTTCCTCCCTCACTTTGTTCCTCTCCTTCAATTACATCCCCTCGCCTCCCCTTTTTTCTTCACTTTCTACACTCTGCGTAGCAGTGGAGTAAAAGTTTAATCCACTGTAACTGGTGAGCAACCAGAGTGTGTAGAGGCAGTATCTTCATTAGCAAGTTATACCACACAACTTAAGTAGTCCTTATCAAATTAAACTGTGTATTAAAGGGTGCATTCAGGAAAAAAGACTCCTCATACATGTAAAAGTCACTGAAGACTAATAGGGGATTTCATCACTTTTTAAAAAGTGATGATGGTAAGAAGTTGTTTTTTCCATCATTCAATGTCCCACAAAAAGAAAGAAAGAAAGAAATAACGGGCTCAAGATGCATACTCACAATTGACCCTCCAGGAATCTCTCTTTCATGCAGGCACACACACACACACACACACACACACACACACACACACACACACTCACACACTAAGAGCTATTATCTTGTCACTGTTAACATGAGATGGGCTGGCTGTCTGGGAGTGATTAGTGGCCGTGAAGGGGTTAAAGGCATGTGTATGCTCGTATGGTTTCTCTGTGTGTGTGTGTGTGTGTGTGTGTGTTGTATTGTGTCCGATAGACATTCTCCCACACTCTCGCCCTGTGGGACATAGGAAAGGCAGGCAGATGGCTGTATTCAGGTCCACCACGGGTCAACATATGGCCCCAAGAGACAAAGTTTGTGTTTGTGTGTGTGTGAGACAGAGAATCTCACTCTTACTATGCATGAGTGGAGGAAGTTGAATGAGTAGGCAGGGAGGAAAAAAGGTAACAGTGGGGGCAGAAAAAGAAGTGGTGAGATAAAGAAGTGGGATGATTTGAGAGGATGAAAGTGGGCAGCATCCTGTGAGATCATACAGGTTGTTAAATACAGCCACTTGTTGTGTGCTCTAAAAAGTCCTGGCCTTTTGAGGAAATTCTTTATTATATCACTAGAGCTACATGTATGGACTTTTAGTGTAAAACATTCAAAATTACCAACAGAATGTAAAGAGAGAACAGTTTTGACGGTATGTCAAAGACATCTGTGTATTGTGCTGCTGAGATATGTAGTTAGCATGCTAACCAGACTCAGATTTGTGGTGATATGCTGCCCACAGTTTGTCTGAGTAAGAATTCAACAGGTGGCCAATTCTTCCATATAACTTTTTTATACTGCAATTCATTTTGGAATAAAACCTAGAAGTTCATAAAATTAAAATAAAAAAATTACTGTTTGGTCAAAAGCAGAAGCTTAAAGTCAAAGCAAATCACTACCTCTTGACTAAATGAACGTAACACAGCTGATTTTTTAACTAAGTAGGGCTAGCCAGCTAATAGGAAGCTAGCTAAAAGTTAACCTAGCTCGTTTGCTAGTCAGCTAACCACTGATGTTTTAGGTGAATCAGCTTGATGACTGAGCTACTGCTAGTTAACCTAGCTAACTGCTATTTTACTAAAATAACACAACTGACAGCATCCTTCTGTTAGCATTCAGGTAATATTGATTTTAATGCAAAACATAGGACATTATTTCTCCAATATCCGATTTGTAAATAACCAACACATTTCGTCGGCAAAGTTGATGCAACAAAAAACATAAACATTGGCCGCTGATAGGCCGTCTTATTTACTTATAAGCAGTCTTATTTACTTATAGGCCGATGTCAGTCAACAAGGCTAATCGGTGCTTCCCTAAACTGTACAGATTGTTCAAGTTACTAATAAAATATATTGCTTTGGACTCCAGTTTAGTATGTGATTTAAATTTAAAACAACCAAATTATCGGGGTTCCAAATCAATTTTAAATGGCATTTCAGTCTGTTTTTTTCCTACAGACTAAAGTGAGCTGCTTTCAGGAAACCTAACCCAGATCAATAGTCTCTGTCAACTCCTCACACTACAAAAGACTTCAGCCAGGCTCTGTGGAGTGTTACAGAATTTTAGCAAGTCATCAATTTAAGAGAGAGAATGCTGGTTTTCCTTGCACCTCCTTTCTTTCTTCTAGCCCCTGAACATACCCCTCCTCTCCTCTCCTCCCCCTCCTTTGCCCTGCTCCATCCCTCCATTCACTGCTCCTCTTTGTGAGTGTGTCGGTGATATTGTGATGCAGGGTGAAGCAGGAGGAAGGGGAGCACAGCTGTTGCTGTTGCTGAGCTCTCCCCATCATCCCTCAATTTCACTCTCTCCGATTCCCTCACTCCATATTGTTCCTGAGACTTTCACGTGCACACAAATTTAACGTCCTCACTTTTTCCCTCTCCTCACCGTCACACCTTCATCTTTCTCTTTTCCTACACTGCTTCCTCTCCGCCCCCCTCCACTATTTCCACCTCTAATAAACTTCTCTTGTCTACTATTCATTTCCCTCCAGCCTCCTGTAGAGGTTCTTCATTCTCTTCATCTCATTCCTCTTGCCCACTCTCTCAAGCTCACCCTCTCCTCCTCCACCGACTACAATTCTGCCCCCTCCCAGGCTTTCTCTCTAATCCCTCCTTCTGATTTTTTCCCCTTCTTTCCAGAGAGGATTTGGGCAAAGTGTTAAATGGGTTGCAACAAATGGGCTCTAGTCAGGTGCTGCACCTATACGCAGATGCCTAACTCAATTTTCCTGACTGTTTTCTTCTTTTTCTCAGCATTCCTACAGTTGTATAGAAGTTCCAAAAGCCACAAATCTTGCTGTCACATATGACGCACTATGCAGATCAGCAGGGGTTGAGTGGCAGTCTACTTATCACCAGGGATCTGATTTAACTTTTCTTGAACTCTTAGGCTCATTCAAGAACTCTTGTCTTGAGGACCTCCATACTGCGGTAAGGACATAACCCAATACAAGTGCCAACTCAAAATTCCAGACAAAAGGAGTTAGAAATATATTAAAGAGGTACTCAAACCATGTTGCACAGCAGAAGCAGAGGTATCCTGACTTTTAGTCCCGAGCACAGGTTAACTCTGGAGCCTACATTTCCCATTATGCAACCAGTGGCAACTCTTATTAACTCCATGCCGCCAGTTTGTAGGGCACTTTTTGTACAAATATTTAGCTTCCAAGCAAAAATAACCCCAATGACATCACCAGAGTTCTTTTCTTAGACTTCAAAATACTCTCTCAATGAACCACAGACGGCATTTTACAACTGTTTTCACAGGCCGATTGGAACTCCCCATGACGAGTAAATTCTTCATGTGTAAAATTGGGAAAGTGCCTCTTTAAGATGTTGTCCAAGTCATTCTCTTTCTCTACTCCCACTATTTTGTGTCAACCATTTACGCTCCATGATGGGGTTTGTGAACAAACACATGGGTGGCTATTGTTGGTGGAAAACTAAGAGCTTCTAGACAGATGTAGTAACATTGTTTTATAGCAAAGAGAAATAAA